GGGGCAAGGAGGAGTTTTACCAGGTATGTCTTTACTTGGGAGCTGGTTGGGCGTCAGCTTGCTGGTGGTGAGCCGCCGGGGGGGTTTTTGTATCACTTGCTTTCCTTGGTTTCATTTTTCTGCTTCCTCCTTTTACTTATTAAACTGCCTTTATCTCAGCCCACGAGTTTTCTCACTTTTACCCTTCTGCTTCTCCCCTGCCTCCCACTGCATGGGAAACGAGCAGCTGTGAGTGCCTGAGCTGCTCATTGGATTCAATTAAAAACACAGGGGTACCCCACCAGTTTTAATACACTCATAAGCAATACAATTTATCCCAACAAATATATTTTCTACTTAAGAACAATCCTGTACTACTTTTAGAAGAGTTGTTGGCAGCTAGTAGCTGTACAACTTTTCAGCCAGTGTATTTGAAATTTAGTAGGAGACATCAGTGTCCTACATTTACATTTACTCTGTAGAGTAAGCGAGGGCAGAGGAGCAAACAACTTCTTCCAGTTTCTAACTTCCACTCAGTCTTGCAATTTGAAATAAACTAATTAAACTGGGCATAGGAAGAATAAAATCTGAAATAAAGTCATGCTCTGGAATCTGTAGAAGAATCTACTGATATCAAGAGCTGGTTTATCCTGTCAACAATGTACGTTTCCAGCTGCTTTACCAGTGACTTCCCTCAAGTCAAGATTAAACTTTTCTTAAACTTCAGCAGTCACCATACACAATTTGGATATGATTTGCCCTTTATTTAAATAATTCTAAAATCTGATGCATTACTTTAAAAAAACCCTAATACATACACAGTTTGAGGTATTGATTATGAGACTTCTGTGCTTTTTACAGTAGTGTTAAAAACATTTTTCAAGTATATACTGGAAATTGGTTTCATTCTGCTGTCGGTCAACAAGTATCTCTCTCTTGTTACCTTTCAGTTAGGAGGTGAAATTATCCGCTGAGAAAACCATTCTAAGGTAACTCCCTGGTGAAAATCTGCAAATACTTCACGACGTGGTGGGCTACTAAAGGACTCATCTTTTCAACAAAACAAGCAGGGCCCACCAACCACGTGCCTAGCTAATACCACCTTAACAGAAAGTGAGAACCAGCCGTCCTGCGAAGTAAGATGCCTTCTCCGTCTTGCACCAGCACTGCTGGAGAGGAAGAGCGCTGGCAAGGTACAGAAGTGGCAGAACCAGATAAAAGACAAAGAGTCCCTGCTTTCTTGCATTTGGGAAGGCTGTAATGTAGACTGGTAAACACGAAACCTACAGAAGGAAGGGCAGACAGGCAGGCGTCTCACAGGGGCAGTAACGCAGAGGGAAGCTTGTGGGCTTGCTGGAGAAGGAAAGGGGAGGATGCTGTCTGGCGCAGCGTACTTAACAGTGGCTCAGAGCTAGGGAGAGGCAGCCAGGATTGTTCAGCTTTTAATTTTTGAAGCCTAAGTTTCCTTTCTGAGCAAGCATCCCTGCTAAGGGAAAACATGCCTAACTGCTGATTTTGAATGGTAAGACGCCCTTCTTCCTGTGCTTGGGCCAGGGTGTAATTCCGAAAGCAGGCACAGGATTACGGGCACAGTGATGAAAAAATAGGGAGAGATATTCTCTCTATCTATAAAAGAGATACCGAAAACTGAGGGAAAGATACTTTTTAATGAGTCTTTGCCATTTTACTAAGAATGTAATTGTACAGAAGATTTCAGGTGGCTAACACACAGCAGGACTTCAGGAAAACAAACAGGCCGTGTACTCTCAGTGGGGAGGCACGGCACGATGCTGTGCGTTTCTGTAACGTGACTTTCTGTCATGAAGAATTCCTGTCATATCCCCACTTGGGCAGAGCAGAGCACATTGCTCTTTTCTTCCTGGCAAGCTATGTATGGCAGCTCTTGCTTTGCACAGTTTCCTGAATGACTGCATTAATTTGACTGACTACAGATCAATGGTGTCTCTAAATGAGATTAAATTACACGTTCCTTCTGTCTGTGTGTTATAGGAGATTACTCTTAGCAGAATCTCAAAGGAAGCAATTAGCTGGCCACTGATGTAATGAATCCTAATTATTTTGTTTGTACAAACAATAAAGCCAGGATCATTTGTTTAGCAAGGAAGTGTAATAACCCCGAGCACTCGAGAAAATAAATCAAACAGTGCTACCTAGGACTGTAAATAATGAGCCTTTGGCTTCCTATTTACGCTAAGAATGCTCATGGAATATTTTCAAGTAGCTAGGAGCCAACCTTTGAAAGTAACATTTATCATAGTTATTGAGCATTTGCTCGATTATGTCCTTGGGTGTGCTAGGTGCCCTGCAGAAATATCCAGCTACATTGCCCTGTCGCTGGCACCTGCTAAAAATTCACTGCAGCTAGTGGAATTTCCTGCAACTGTTTTTTGTTAATCAACAAGAAGTCGCTCACCTCGCAATCATTAGCCCATACTGTTCCTAAGGGCACCAGTGGCTAGGGGGCATGTCCTCAGCAAAGGATGAATGCTCAGGAAAAAAAGCACATTAATGTACATGGAGCAGGCTCTATTCTGCCCAACATTTGGCCACGGAGGCTAGAAATGGAATAAAACCAGAAGGCAATGGAATGAGACTGGCTGCAGCTGGGTCTTCCCCTTCTCCAGGCTGATCTGCTGGTGCTGCTGCTGCAGAACATTCACAGCGCCAACAGGAGAGACAAGCAGAGTCACTGGGGACCTCGCGTTGCAGAAAACAGACATCAGTCCAAAAAGAGCTGAAATTCTGCCACCTCTGCCGATTTTGTGTAACCCCGAAGCATGAGGGAGCTGGCAGGTTAGATAACCTGATCCCACCGCATGCAGGTGCAGCGATGCAGCCCCCCAACCACCCGTCCCTCCTGCAGATATTAACTCCTGAGATCTGCCATTCTCTCAGGCTAGTTGGTTCCCTTCCCCACGGTTTTGAAAGGATGTCCAAAACAGACAAAAAATATTTCGCCTAATAAACCGCAAAGCCACAAACTCTGCAGTTGCTTTGCTTTTCTTCTTCTCTCGGCCTGAACAGCCAGGCACCCGAAAGGGATCAACTTTATTTTCTGGTTCCCTTAAGTGGTGCTCGACAATCTTAACGGCAGCACAGGCTCGCATCCCGATAAAAGCCTTAGCCTGAATGAAAGACAGACACCTCCGCTTACAGCACTTGGATTCTCATTGTACTGACGTTGTTTAAATACAGAATGAATGCTCGGAAGTCAGCAAAATCACGCTGATGTGAGCAAGGTATAAGTTGCTGCAACGTTTGTTCTGGCTGGAGGGAAAGTGCCAATCACGTGGTGCAATGGGAGCCGTTTCCTTCATGCTTGTGAGGTATTTCAGTTATTCTTTCCTTCACACATACGAGCTGTTTCTCTTTGTTTGTGTGGCGTTACTATTAAAAACTCCCAGAATGCTTTTTTTTTTTTTTTGTGCTCTTGCTGCAGGCCTAACTGACAAATGTTTGCTTCCTGCCGTTATGTTATTCCAGTATCCTTGAAAATTAACTGAAGACTTTAGTCTCCTTTGGAGAAGTTAAGGAGGAATAAATACCACCTACCTGGAGGCAGGTGGGGCAGATGAATTAAAATATTATATCTAATTGTGCAGTGCAGATGTGCTTATGCCTAAACCTTTTGTTTTGTTTTATTTTGTTTTCCCCTACGAACAACTTGACCAAAAGCAGAGAATTCCTCGGTTAGTCTTTTGGAATACTGCCTTAGGCCTCTTCTAGGGAAAAGCAGCATTACTAAATGTTTGGCTGCCTCTACATCAAGTATTAAAATGTCATATTGTTTTTCCAGGCTGAAAAATTTTGGTGACCTTACTGGATGACCAACAGTACCTAACAATTAATGCTGATCCAGGCAGGCAAGAATAGAAACTCTTTGGGGGTTTTCAGGAAGGCTGAACTGCAGCCAAAATTATTCAGGGGATATGTGAAAACTACCTTAAATTGGTCAGTATTTTACTGGGGAAAAACACTGGAGATGCTACTCCACATCTGAGTACAAGAGAAATATCTCTTGGGAATGAAGAAATTGATTTCTGGCCACACTAGGAGTGCACTGTACTGTACCCTTTAAAAATTGGTCTCTTCCAAAGAGATGTTGTAACTGGAGAAATCAAGGGTTTGATTTAGCTTAAGATGATTATGTGATTATGTTCCTGCAACACGTTATTCATCCAGCCTACTTTGTGTTGGGCAAATAAAGCCTTATTCTATTCCTTCTGAAAACAAATGGAAAGTGAGATCACAGTACAGAGTAGAAGCTAACAGTGTCTATAAACAAAGCAAATTGTGACAGAAAGAAAAGACTCAGTTCAACACTGCTCAGGTCAACAGAAAAACTTTCTGACTTTGTGAAAACGGGATCAGAAATGCTGTTTGGGTTTAATAAGAAACTGGCAGCATTTTATTTTCTTTAAGCTTCTCCTTATCGTCTCCTGTACTGCTTCTGTTTCTTATGTCATCACTTCAAAAAGAAAATCCTTCACAGGAGGGATTCTGCCGCTTAGAATAAGGATTAGCCTAATAACATTAGACAAATCTTCTGACTTTCTCTCTTGCTCTGCATTAGGAAGAAGGTGGACTGAACGATTCAAAGCAATTTTTTCAGAAGTGTCTGAAGAATTAGAAGTCCGATTTTCAAAATTATTTTAGGCACTTGGCCCCTAAATCCTTTAGAGAGAGATTTGGGCTCTTCCTTAGTCTCTTTGGAAAAACAAATTAAGTTCACACAGCATGTAGATGTTAAAAAACTGGGTTCCCCTACTCTCCCAGGACATGGATATTTAGCTTTTAGGGATAAAGTAAGCATAGCTCAAGAGTAAAAACTCTGTAATATTTTTCCTTTTAAAATATGGAGAAAATAAACAACTTATTTAGCAGAGGTCCTTAATAAGCAAATTAATCTCAAGAATCTTTAGAAAAGTTTAATTTAAAATAATTATCCTCAAAATGTCTGATCAAACATTTTTTAGCTTAATGACGGGAAACTGTCATACCTTTCTGAATCTCTCTGGTTCCTCCAAAGATCCAGGACTCTGTTTAAAAGAATAAAGAAAAAAAAAAAAAAAAGCAGCATGAATTTAAGATCCCAGTGGAGAGTGGAGCCTATAAATGAGTATTCACCTTACAGGGGACGTTTCTTTCAAATTCCTGGTTACCTGGATAGGGTGAATCAGCGGGAGATTTTTGTTTAATGAGCTTTTTAACACACATTAGCCAGAAAGCTGAAGTGTTCTCAGGTTCTTGACCATTTGAATCTGATGAGCAGTTCTCCCAGCATTAGCTTTGACTTTACTGACACCTATTGACTATATTTCTGCTTACACAAGGTTTTGGTCAACAATCCATAACTCATTACAGTCAATGGCAAACAATTCTTAGAAATGTGCTCTTTATTAGTAGAGGTCATGCTTACTTTCCCTGCACTCTAAAGTATTCTAATTAAGCTTTGGATTCAAAGACCACGGTTTCTCAAAGGAGAAAACTTTCAGGTGCCTTAAATTTTAGGTGTTTGAGTTCAGATATCTTCCAAATCACTTACATACAGAAAGTACCGAATGCACATCTGTAAAGTCTAATACTCCGATTAAGGGACCTTGAAGTTGAACACGTAACGTAAGCAGTTAAGCTAGAAAAATCTTAATTACGTATGTTTACACTAAGAACATGGGAGTATCTTTCGAATGCCCTGGAATATCGCATATATGGGGATGAAGTCTGCCATCCTCAGCATGTCTTATATATAACAACTTGGTTACTTCTCTAATCGTTTCATTCTTGCATTAAAATACCTCCTCTTTATTTCCTTCCAGATCCTTAGCACATAAAGACAATTTCAAAAATAAATAGGTCCTTCTGTGCACAGTTACTTTCTGAGTCGGTTCAGTCAGTGGCTATTCTGATCACTGTTTCACATCAGGAGACACAAATAATGAACAGTAAATATATTCTTACTTCAGGAACTGTTGGAAAAATAATATAATGGAGCATGTTGTACCTTCCATTTTAACAAATATTCTGAGCATTGCTTACAGAGTGAAAAAGAGAGGGGGCAACTCTTATTTTAATACAAGAATATTTGTGCTTATAACTACACAGATTCATAGAATGGTTTGGATTGGAGGGGACCTTGAAGATCATGCAGTTCCAACCCCCCCTGCCCTGGGCAGGGCCCCCTTCCCCCAGCCCAGGGGGCTCCCAGCCCCGTCCAACCTGGCCTTGAACCCTTCCAGGGAGGGGGCACCCACAGCTGCTCTGGGCACCCTGGGCCAGCGCCTCACCCCCCGCACAGGGAAGAATTTCTTCCTTACATCTCATCTAAATCTCCCCTCTTTCAGTTTAAAACATGGCTGTGTTTGTTCTGTCTTTGATGGCATTTACTAAGGGAGGTTTTCATTAAGCAGACACGCACACATAGTGTTGAATTATGCCTAGCAATGGGAAGCAACCTAAAAGAGCAATGGCAGAGATCAGCAACTGTGAATTGAGTGATGTCACCTACCGGTGAGCTCAGGGACTCTTTCAGTTTAGACTTGTAGAGCATCCATCGGTAACGCAGGTCCTCCAGATCTTCAGAGTTTCCAGTGACAGGATGAAGATGAAGAAGGTTCTCAAAGAGATGCTGACCATAAGGCACACGAGACTGCAGCTCCTGCAGGCAAAGGCAAGGTCAGCAGCAACTCAGAATTCAAGAAGGCCTTGCTTTTTAAATCCAGCATTCAAAAGAACTGTGGTACTACATCGAACTACTAGGTGCTCTGGAAGAGCACGTTTGTTACCTCTTTTTTGGCCTGAAATTATATAAAAGGGTCCACTCATCCACAGAGCCCCTGTAGCCTTGGATATTTCTGTTCCTTTTCTTACAGCATCCACTGTCATTGCATCTGGCTATATTCAATAGGAAGAGCGAGGCCAATTACCAGACACTGATTTAATCAGCTTCTTTTAACGAACACCTTTGCCACACCACACTGGAAAAGTCCAGTCCAACAGCTAGATGCCAGGCCGCTCCCTTGCCTTCTAACACTCCAGCTCTGGCACAGCTTTCTTAGTTGAAGGGGTGACATATTTGTCCCAAATTCCTGAGCTTCATCTACCCTAGAGTCTTCTAAAGCAGAGTGTAATGTCTGAGGAGTTTTGTTGCTGTTTGGGGGGTTTTTTGGTTTGTTTTGTGAGGGTTTTTGTTGGTTAGCTGGGGTTGTATGGGGATTTTTTTTTTTTTTTAATTCTGAAAGTATTTGCGCTTACTGCAATCTTTGTCTCCATCTTTATCCCCTGAAAACTAACCTCCAGTTTGCTCTGGCGTGCCTTAGTTTCCTCTGTGGAAGATGAAGTCACAGCAAGAGTTTTGGTCAGTTTGGTGTTTTCTCCTTGTAACCACTCTTCAAAGTCGTGTAGAAGCTTCAGGTGGCTGCTCGTATTTTGCCCTTCTCCTATCCTCTCCTAGGTTACAGAACAACAGGAACAAAAAAGCCCTTACTGTTATGTCAGATGTTTCCTCTGAAGTCCTGACTGCAAGATCTTAACCTCCAACTTTGTAACCCTTAATATCAGATGAAACCAATAAAACCGTGCTGGTGAAGCTAATATGATGGCAGGTACAGCGTCCCCCTCTCACCTGCTGATGGTTGGGATCTACATCTAAAAGATGGAAGGCAGGTCCAGACATCCATCTGCTGTCCACAAATGCTATTTTCTTCTTATCAGCCACGGGTCTATTTAACTGCCACTTTTTGAGAAGACTTGAAAACACAAAACCGGAGACATCAGTGCAGCGAAACATCTAATGATGAGACATCCACATTTTTACTGGGGCTATGGGGGACACCTCTGGTGAAATAGCACTATTATTATTATACTATTATTACTATTAATAAGGCTATGACTATTAAAGTTATTTCCAACATCTTTTTAACAAAATAAGATCAAGACAGGAGTGTCTCAAAGCAGCATCAGTCCTCTAGTTCTAACATTTCCAAGCATTTTCTTTTCTTTTGTTCAGAGGAGTGAGGGACCAGAAAAAATCCTACCTTGACAATATACCTTCCAGTCTGGTAACAGCAAGCGGTATAATCAAGCCTTCCTCAATTTAATCATTCCATTTTTACGCCTATTCTGACATTGTGTATGCATATACTCACACAACTATCACAGTATTAAATTTTAATACCAACTAGCAGATATGAGCAGCAGTTTGACACTGCACAGTGAGGGCAAGAGAAATTAAGTCCACATTTACCAGCTAAGAGAGGATTTTAGCTCTGTTGATACTCTTGCAGGTTTGTACAAGGCACAAATCCCAGTGCAGATATAGCCTCCTTGGAGGTATCTCCAGATCAGACAGCAAGGAGAACAGGAGGACAAGGCAGAACAGCAGAAGCCACCCAGCCTGTGTCCTATTTCCTGATACAGACTGGCAGTACAGGGATGAGCCAAGTCCTAAGGAGACACTGCCTATACTCCAGGCATGAGGTAAAGGCAGCTTCATAGACTCCTCTGGTCCCTCAGTTCTCTAAAATGGTTTTCTTGAAAGTTGTGATTTCTACTGTACAAATAATTAAATAAGATCTCATCTTGCTCCTAGCATTGTAACATAGCTCTTTACTTTTGCAGCAGGGAGCATAAAGCATCGAGTGTGTCTGCTCATATAGCAGTAAAGAGCATCCCCTTGAAGGGACATGTGAAGGACCTACATGAACACTTACCCAGCTGCCATCTCCTTCAGTGATCTCCACGACTCCTTCAGCTGATCCAGCTCTGCCTGGACATGGGCAGTCTCCTCTGGGGAAGAATTCTCCATGAGCAGCTGGCCGTGAGCTTCCACAAGGTGCAGCTTGATCTCCTTATCTGGAAACTCAGCCAGCCATCTCTGAAACATACAGCCCTTACAGTTACTTCTAGGTATCCTGGGTAGAGCAGAGGCTTTGTCAGACTGAAGGCAATGTTCAGTCCACTGTGCTGATTCTGTTGGCACTAGCTAGAACATACTTAGCAGGAGAAAAAAAAAAAAAAAAAAACAAGCCACTGTGGATTCTTGCAAAGAGCTGATAGCAAAATGTAAAGGGTGCAAGCTGTCAATGCACTGCTTCCATAGCCTCCCCTTGATACACCTTGGTTTCCTGTATGAAGGCAAAAGCTGCTGGCTGGAGTAACCTGCCAGAGTGAATCTAGCATGCAAAATACTGCTGCACAGGGAAAAGCTGTGGCACGCCCCAGTTCAACCCAGTATAAGGTAGGGTAATAATATTCAATGTATCGATGAGTACATACAGGCAAAGGTAAGTATTGCCCAGAGAGATCACCCTGGCAGGAAGAACTCTTTTTAAAACCACCTAACCTTTGCTAATACTTTATAGCAGTTCTTAACAATTTCTCACTGTTCTTGTCTCTCACTTAGCTCCACATCCCACAGCACAGGGCGAAGCCAGGAGGCAGCAGCCACCAACAGTTATTGCAGAAGGAACAAACCATCATGATTCTCCCCAGCTAGGAAACCCTCATCAGAAATCCCCCACCCTCAGTGTCTGAATGCTGCAAAGTGAATCATTAACACCTTCCACTAAGATGCTTTTCTCACCTCAAGGTCTGCCACCCGGCCCTCGGTGTTCTGCTCTACATCAGCTCCCTTGTAGGAGTCAATCTTCTCCGTGGTTACTCTGATCCACTGCTGGAGGTCAGAGAGTTTGTCCTTATATGCCCAGTGCTTCTGAACATGCTCTTCACTCTGCTGTATCATCATCTACAAATGATAAAAATATGTCAGCAACTGAACACAGGCAAAAATCAGTTTCGTTACTGTGTCTAACACTGTGACTACTGGCACAGAATCTCATGGGCAAAAAGGAAAAAAAAAAAAAAAACGGCTGTTAATGAGACACAAACTTTATCCTTTAGCATCAGTTGCATGGAAAACACCTACAAGCTCCTGCAGGCCTGAATTCAACCACATGGGGGGGCATTAAGCACTAGAATAGCTCCCTTTTCCGCCGAAACAGAATAAAGAATACCGTGAGTCTTTTTATACCCCAGTCAATATTAAATATTCCTTATGCTCTCTGATTCAGAAATGACTGAACAGACTTTTCTGGAAAAAAAGTCCAGTTCAGTGATAATTGGGATTATTGAGATTGAAACAAGAATTCCACAGTGCATATTAGGCTAACACTTAATCAAATGTATTTTTATGGTGACCTGCATAACTAAGGTAATTTTATAAGATCTTCTTCTGAGATTGCTTTAGAAGGTCCTTTTACAGCTATGTTTACAAGCTACAAAATGCCTCAGGTCAAAATAAGTAATTAGGCAATTGTAACACTTTTCTCTCACGAACTTTGAGGTCACAAAGCTATAAAAAAAACAAATAGTGTGATACAAAACCACTATCCAGGAATCTGTGAAGAAGTCCAAGCACCTCCATGATATTACGAGGTCTTTTGGTTAGAAATCTCAGGCCTGCTCCAGAAATAATTTATATACATATAAAATCCATGTGGATGGTATCCTATCCCAAAGGGTAATCACATTACAAACAATCAGAGAATCCTTGAAGAGTTATCAAAGTCATAAGAATTCTGTGCCTTCTTCTCCTGAAACTAAAGTATCTGTCACTCAAAGCATATAATCTTGTATGCTCAAAGATTTTTTTTATATTTTTGAATAGTGGCAACTGACTACTCTTCAGGCAGCTAAAACTCTTCCTTATGTTACCTCCAGTGATCTCTTCAAGTCCTGAGAGTCAGATGACAGTTGGTTCATTTCATGCCTGTGTGTGGTATTTGACTGAACAAGCTTCTCTACCTCCTCCATTTGAATCACAAGCTCTGCCAAGTCATCTTGGATCATCTGCAGAGGAAAAGACAGATTTCATAGGGGTAATGCGCTCGATGTGGCAGGGACCTCCACAAAACATACACTAAAAGTAGTTTCGTTTGGCAGTGTGAGGGGGAAAAAAAAAAAAAAAAAAAGGAACTGTCACTCTATCACTCACTTTAATTAAGAAAATTAAATTTTTTGATGTCTAGGAGTAAATGTTTCTGAAACAAATGGCTGGACATTCTTACATGTTACCAGTTGATAACAAAGAAGACAAGTTGCTAAGAAGCTGCCAGAGGAGACAGAGTACAATTAGCTAAGTACTGCAAAGAACTATGGTAACAAAACCCACATGGTCACCAAGGATGAACTGGTACCCTATAGCTGAGCCACCATAGCTCACCGTGGTGAAAAGGAAGAGCCACATCTCTCTTTTCCCCTCCTGCTCTTCTTTTCCCTCTCCCAGCTATATAGTCCCACTGCATGCCTTGAGCAGCCTCTACTCCATGTTGGTTCCGTTGCTGAACCAGTTCAAAACACTAAGCAAGTGGAAAATTATCAACTTTTTTTTTTTTTTCCTTTTTTTTTTTTTTTTAATCTTTTTTTTTTTTTTTTATCTTCACCAGCTGAATTAGCCGGTGGAGTAAATCCAGCACGTGTCAAAGCTGTGACAAGGGAAAGGGCAGGAAGGGGGGGGATGCAGAAGGCGGAGAGACAATGGGAACTCCCTGCTTTTGGAGGGAGTTAGATTGGTTCAGGTTATCTTGTGCAGTTGCACTCCTAAAGGGAAGTATCAGGATACATTTTCTTTAGCAATAAAACTAGCCCAAGAAGGTGTGACACCAACAGCTTCCAGCTGCTTGTGCCTTCCCTCAAGCCCAGTTCACCAGTTCTTCAGCTGCATTGCTTCAATTTCATCTACTCCATGCTATAAACTGGACCAAATTCAATTATCTAACACACAATTGAAGGGACAAAGTACTGAATTCCTAAGGCTAATAAAATATGAACAGGACGACAAGTAACCGAGGCTATCACGGTCAAACATTACTGTAATGTACCTGGAGTCTCTGGAGTTGTGTCTTTTTACCCAAGAGGTCAGGCTGTGGTTCCTTCTCTAGATCTAATTTGGCTTTAATGGCAGATAATTTCTTCTGCAAAGGTGCGAAACCAGCATCAAAGTCCTTATGTTGTGATATCAAATTCTAGGTGAAGAAAGGAGAAGAAAATAGATCCAGCATTCAACATATAAACCTTGGTGTTATCTTTTACCAATGCCCATTTCCTACTCTGAACAAACACCAAGCTGCACTATGCAACAGACCACAAATCTATTTGCATATTTGATCAACCTAGAAAAAGGAATTTGGCACAGCTGGTTAGTACTAAATTTATAGCTATAAAACTGCCTTAGTAAAAGATTGATCATTGTCCTTGTCACAGGCAAAGACTGTACGTGGACTTTGAAGCTCACCTGGACTTTGCCCTTGCTTTGCAGCAGACTTTTGTGTAGAACTTCTCTCTCCTTCGAAGCTTCAGCTACTTCTTGAAGGAAAGACTTTGCGTTTTCCTCGCCAAGGACATTGTTTAGCAAATCTTTCTTCAGCTGTAATGTCATCAGCTTCTCTTTGAACTGGGAGCTTTCAGCTAGAGCAGCCTAGAGGAGAAAAATTCTTCCAGTGAAATCATACCAAAAAAAGTAAAAATCATATAGCCACACAAGTCACACCGACAAAGCAGTATGACATAGTCATACACAGCACGCTGGGCCGACAAGGGGTAACAGAAGGTACCTGGACAGTGCCCAGTTAAAGGAAAAGTCTTCCTGATAAATGTTAGAAGCACCAGAGCTGCATCCATTTTGTGAACAGAAATAGAGGAAAGCTGTGCTATGGAAAGAGTTGTCTGTGCAGAGGAGAGGCCTAAACAACCAACAGAAAGGCCAGCTCGAATGCTCATCCCAAGGATGAACTCCGTCCCTGTTCAGAGACATATTTATTGTGGAGATCACAGGGATGGCAAAGTAACACGCCTTGCTGGGCACGTGCAGAAATCATTCACTGCAATCCCACCGCTGTATTAATACACACGTCTTAACAGGGCCCACAGAATTCCTGTCCGGGGAGAGCTGGGCTAATGCTAAAGGATATTATCATAATTGTTAAAGATACTTAGCACTTTAAGTCAGTCTGTTCAGTTGACAACTCTAGATAACCAAACGGAGGGCAGAGAGTAAGACACTCCACTGCAGCTGGAGCGAAGTACTGACCTCCATACTGTGGGTATTTTCCTGCCATACTGGAAAGGCCCTTCCAGCTGCTGCTGGCATAGCTCGGGCAAACACAGACCAAGTACCAGTTTCTGAGCTTAGCAAGAGGTCTGCTACCTCAATGTGAGCCAGCGCTGGCTCCGGAGTCTCCAGGAGCATCTGGATCGATGGCTTCCACTGTTCAAAATCTTGCAGGGGATTTTGGAAGAGTCTTCTCAGATGGGTTTCTGTATCAGTGCTCATTTTGGATGTCTTGCCTCTAACACTGCAAGGTTAAAGTGACAGCCGAGGGAAGGATTATGAAGAAACCCAAGTCCTAACATCCTATTCATCGAGGCATGAAATAACACAAGATTTCTGTGTAAACTGTATCCAACACAAAAACCTCAGTCTTTTTTACTGTCTGAGCCTGGTGTTACTTGCTGACAGCTGCTCTGCCAGTCAGAAACATCAGACAAAACTTTATTTAGAAACGGGTAAAACACATTTGTGTCTTGTGCAACTGTGTATCAGAAATTACTATGCCTTCCTAGCAGCCAGCAGTCTCCCCTTGTATGTGATCTTGGCTGCTACCACCAGCATGATTTAACAAATCATATTATTGGAACAGTCTCACTGACTGATGGGAGGAACAAGCCAAGAGTGTCTAGAATTCAGCTGCAGCTGCCTATAGTGTTTTACAAATTACTGAGTCTCTGTTCCTTACATTATGAAATTTTTGACCACCCTATTGCCTACCTATAAATTTTAACATTTTGTAAACCAGTTGTATTTACATTAACATATATAGGTGATTCTGAGAAAAGCTTTGTATTTATATATGTATATATACATACATGCACAGCTATACATGCATGTGTGTGTATATACTAAAAAAAAAAAAAAAAAAAATCAGCACACATTCATTAAATGTCCAGGCTTCTCTTACAAAGGCTCATCCAACATACAGCTGAGTAGCAAGGCCTAGCAGTGACACACCCCATGCAGCTGCCTCCTGTTTTTCTCAGCTTTCCCGACCTCCCAGTTTGCAGAATCCTATTTGACATGGCAGAATGCAGCCCAAACTATACGTTCATATGGGAACAGTATCCCTCAAACTCACAAGACAGGCAGGCAAGAGCAACGCCAATCAAGATTAATACTGCCTTTCTGTAAAAACAGAAACAATAATCTTACCTGTGTCACTGGGATGTTACGGAGCTAAACAAAGGCAAGCTTGTAGAGGCCAAAAGCTCCCCAAATAGAAAGTTCTGATATTACAAGTCCTTTGCCATTTGCTCTGCTGCCCTTGCCAGGCTCAGCATGAGGCTGCCAGACTTTGCACAGAAGCTCTGGAGAGAAGCTGGCAAGAGAGCTGCTGCCATTTTCTACTCGGAGGCAAGTCCCCTGCCTTCTCTGCCTCTCTTTCGACATCATTTACTTGTTAGTTTTTAAACTGAAATCCTTTCCCTTCATGACTTATAACCCTTCCAGCAGGACAGCACACTGTGCACTGGACAGAGGAAAATAAGCTTGGATACAGTAAAAAAAAACTGACCTTTCTTTTTCCTCAAAAAAAAAAGATCCTTTCTTCTAGTTTGCAAAATTTGCTGCAGCTTCTTTACTTCCTGATTCCAGGCAGCCTGGAAACGGAAACACTGAAGTCTGGGGAGAGGCTAAACTTTCAGAGTTTCCAACCCAAGGCAAGTTGAAAACAGGAATCATGCATGCATGCTGCCAGGAGAAGGGGAATAAACTCTGCCAAATAATTGCTAAGGCTGATGAGTCACCACAACAAACTCAACAAGGGAAGGCCGTAATTCTTCTGAACCGTTTTACTACTACAGCTCCTGTCCTGATTTTCTAGGTGCTGTCATGAAAGGCAAGCAAAATACATAAATTATTATCATAAAATGCTAAGAAGATCAAATTAGCTGCCAACAATCTAATTTTCTTCAAACCATACACAACCCTAATGATGCAAGATCATTGCTTGGAAATGGCCAGCAACCTACAGCTGCTAGCAAATGGCTAAAATTACAGGTTTACGGAAATGTGGAGGCAGATGTAATTAGCAAAAGCCTCTGTTTTCTACCCATCACTTACAATCGGATGGCATATCACTTTTTTTCTTAGGCCCTTGGCAATCCCTTCAATGTCAGAGAAGATTCTTCCCCCCTCTTCCCCCCTCCCTGGGTAATCAGACTTCCCACTACCTTTGGTACTGCTGTATTGCAGAGACAACACTCTCAGCGTGTGGCTGCACATCTTGAGAAAACCGTAGCAGGTCCTTAAGCTGAGCCTTCAGCCTCTCAACCTTGGACTCCTCTGCAGCCAGAGATGCTCTCGTTGCCTTAATCATAAAAGTAATGAACAGATCACACCATATGTAATGTCTGGCACATGAAATGAAGTGTAAGGCCGTCTCTCCGGGTATTCACAAGTCCCCTTTCTGATGCCTTTTTTCCTGGTTGCAAGGAAAATGGACTTTGCTATGACAGAAAACATTCTCAGAGAGTTTTGTTCCTTCAGGCTCTCTCTCCTCTCCTCGCACCGCCCTGCTGCTGCTGCTTCTCATCTGCAGGATTCACTACTGGAACAGAGTGAATCACAAACAGGCCCAGTTCCAGTTCACTGACTGCAATATATAACATGAGCTGCATTTTTGGAGCGGTCTTAACCGCATCTGTTTGCACGAACAGATCTTTCTCGAAGGCGCGCATATGTGGAATGTTAATTCCAGGGTGATGTGGGGAAACAAAAACAACCAAAAAACTCATGCAAATACAGCTGGATTGAACCACTCTGTATTTTATGGATCCTTTTTGCGTATACTTTTCCCAGCTAGCTGCTGAATTCTGGATACACAAATAGCAATGAAAGGCATTTTGAGGAGATAACAAATGCAAAACAAGCGCTCAAGAGGAAATGAGTGGTACAGATTCTTACCTAATTTATGTGTGACAAACTTTTTTTGCACTCGTTTTTGCAACAGAACGATTTTGGTGTAAATACTAGATTGCTACAAACTTGGGACTTCTTAGGAATGAAGATGTCCCTGATGGTAAAGGACTACAGATACTAACCTTACACAGATGAAGGATATAATACAGAAACGGTCTTACCAAACACTCCAGAAATATGTGCATTTGTGGGGGTGTGTATGTATGTATGTATTTGTATACATAGTGAGGCATTATTTTCCTGATTCTTTTTAAGTAGAGCAAATTGTGTTGCTTGCTCTGTATTGTGCTCGTTTTGCATACGGTCCTTCTGAACTCAAGACACAAACTCCAAACCATCACCCAACCCTGCTCCCTCTGTGTGGAGTGAGATAGAGGTTAGAACAGTCGTTTCCATTGTTGCTATCCACATTTTCCTCAGGCTGTTTCATACATGCTCAAACCCGTTCCTTGTCACCTTTAACCAATGGGACAGGCACATGTTGGATGTGATTACACGTGTTCAGTCTATGACTGCACTTGATCCTGATGGTTTTAAGCATACAAAGGGTAAAAACTTACATTGCATTTTCTCCAGAGAGTTACAAATTCATCTTCAGTCTTCTCCCCTTCCCCAGGGTCCAGATCATTTTCCAGTCTCTGTAAATCTTTTTTCAACTCCTGGACATCTGCTTCTAATTGTCTGGCTTGGAACTCATAGGCACTTTCTGACTGTTGGATCTTGAGCAACCTTTCCTCCTCCTCCCTAGTCAGCAGTTTCAACTTCTCCAAGGCTTTTCTTAGATCTTCGAGTTCATCCTTCATTCTATCAGCTCCGAGTGGGGAGGTATTCTGAATCACCTCCGCACTCTGGATTTCCAGGTGCTTCCATTTCTTTCCACCACTTCTAATGTTTTTGGCAATTTCCTGCATAAAGAAGTTAAATAAAGATTAGTGGCAGGAATGGGAAGTTGGGGGGAAAAGGCTAGAAGCAGTAGGCAAAAAGACCACCTCTCCTGGCTGTACATATTTTGTTCTTCATTTCTTATGTCAAAGTATGTCTGTCTTCAAGTGACCAGAAGCGAGAGTTGGTAATTTAACTGCTTTCTGAGTAATACTAACTGCCATGATTCTGAAAATACTGGCTTCATTTTCGTAAATGCTTGTCACCTGAGGTCTCTGCCAAAGAAAACAGGAGCTTCAGGCACTAAGAAATACTGATAGTCAGATCTCTGGGAGATTTAAAGCTAAACAGTTCAAGCAGTGGCACCAAAATACCGGATAGTGTTCTCAAAACTGATGTTTTTATCAGCAGTTCTAAACTCTCAAAACCTGTGAGCCTTCAGGCTCTAGCTGGATCATGTTTACTAAAAATTCATTAATTTAAAGAAGTTTAAAGGGCAAGGTTCTCAAAGAATCACACAACCATAGGAGATCAGGCTTTAACAAAAAACAAGAGAGATCAGCCTGTGACTCACGACACAGTTGGGAGAACTGTATGTACTAATGGTTTTAGGACCTGATACAATTCTTCTCCCCCTCGCCTATGTTACAATCAACACCTTTTGTTTGTGTAATTCTTTTCCCAAGTACACCCTTGTGTGGCTTGAGCAGCGTATACAGGGATGAAGAACACACAGTCCCAGCTCCTTGTTAGAATTATATTGTTTAAGGACCTTCAGTGCCTTTAACTTGTCCTCTGTTGAAGACTTGGTTGCTTCTCCAGTGCAGCAGTTTAATCTTTCTGTCACACCATTCAGCCACGATTGAAACCGGTTGACGTTAGCGCTGTACTGCTCATGTTCCTTAGTTATCTTTTCAAGCAGTTTCACTCTGCTCTGTAACAAGAGACATCAGAAGCCGTGAGGACAGTGCTTATCTGACCCTTTTTCCTTTACACTGTAACCCAGAATTTATAAACAAGAGTCCCTTTTCGTAAGCCCCGACAGCACTTGGCCTCCACGGGAATTCACCGTTCACCTCAAGAAACAGAACACAAAAGTACATAAAAGCTTCTGCCTATCTGGGTTGTGATGCAGGCTCCCAATGGCTTGTCTCTGAGGAGGAAAACTGCAAGGTCCTCTCAGGTGAATTTCTAGCCTCTTATTTCCAAAACTTCCTATTTTCTCATTACAAAAAGAAAGAGAGACAGAAATCTGTTTCTGGGTCTTACTTTGAAAGACAAGCAGTTGTGTTCCCTGTGGTGGTTAAAATAAACAGGAGCACACAGCAGATCGACTGCCTATCTCTCAAAGTGAGAATAAGAGAGGGGCATGCAAATTGGTTTAGTGTTCATTATTTAAGCAGACTGTACAGAAAGTCACCATCACCTTCAATCACGTATCCCAGGAACTTTCACACTCGTTCAACTAGCAGATCACAAAATATCCTGTGGTGGTATCACAGATCCTGGAAGCAAGTTTAAGCCTACGGGAAGCAGGCTTCCTTTTCTGAGTTACTGTGGGTATACCCTATAACCAACAATCCCTGAATTTACAGGGGCCTGCGCGTCATGAGTTGCTCCCCACTAATCCAGTCTGGCACCCCTCACCACAAGGCAGTCACATTTGCCCAGGCTATCCATGTTTGTCAGCGGAAGTTTAGGCCCTGCTGGAGGCAGTTTTACACAGATCACGAGGAATCTTGCTCTGTTGTTACACTAGTATAATATCCAACCTAAGTATTATTTCCCACAGAATCAGACTGTTTTTTTCTTGCCCCCGGCTGGCATGGAGAGAGCAACTGAGGTACACTGTGGTTACATCAGGAAAAAAATTGTTCTTTACGCAATCCATTTAGCGCTTGCAGCACCCTTGGAAGACTCTGCTATCCTGGACATCAGGCTGAGTTTCATTTTGTGCAATATGGGCCGCGTCCCGTTGCCTCCGAGCAGAGCTTCATCCCAGCTGCCCTCCGCGTAGAGTAGGGTGATAGCTGCAATGGTGAGCTGAGTTTCGGAGTCCCCTCGCCCTGTCCCTTGTCTCTGTGTGGCCCCGGGCATGTCCCCTCACCCATCAACCTGCCGGAGGTGGCAGTGGGCCTGTCAGCCTCTCTCCAGCCAGGTCAGCAGAAGGGTGGCATAAGCATCGGTCACCGTGGGACCTCCTGTGTGCTGGGGGGGGGGGGGGTGACGGTCCCTCCGGGACTCTGCCCTTCACCTTCGGGACAGGTTGTGCCCGCGGTGCAGTACAAAGCCACCGCTCTCCAGGCGACACCACACCAGTCTCTTCTTCCACACCGGCACTGCAATTTCTGCTGAGTTCTGCAAGTCAAGAGTGGCTCCCCTAAAGTTAGTTGACTTGCTCTGGGACAAAAGGGGGACAGCTAAGGGACAGCTGCTTCCCACGGAGGAGGAAAGGCTGCCCACTTATTAGGACAGGACCTTTAAAAGCACCACCTATGCAAACATGGGTTTGGATGAGACCAAAAAGCAGAATTATGACTGCAGACTTTTGTGGTCAAGATATATCCAGCAGAACACCTCACTTGTTTGCTAAATCTCTTTGCTTTGATTCTCAAATCTGCAGAGGTGCATACGGGTTAGACGATTCACACCTTGACCTCAAGCTAGGGACTTGAAGAATTCACATCAAAGTGAAACAAGTCAGCCCGAGCTGATTGATTACAGGAAATTAGGATCATTTGCTGCAGTGACAGAAGCTCCAAAGGGAGCAAGTCAGAATAACAAAGTGGAGCTATTATTAAACTCAAAAGTCTTACGCTAATATATAGAGGGTTAAAAAGGAAGTCGAAATAACCCACCCCTGGCCAGGCTATTCAGCCAAAACAAAGGAGTGCACAGTTTGGATATTCTTGCTAGTTCATGAGGTCAAGGAGATGCCATGGATCTGGAGAGACTGTGCTAGCTGTCAAACAAAAGGCTTACAAAGAGCTGGCTGGGCCCCCCCCCGGCCCCAAGAGGTTAGGCAGGGAAACTTTCTAATGATGGAAAATGTGGTATCACTTGCTTCTGTTAGGTTAGCTGGTCAGGGAGCAGGACAGTGTTAAACTTCATCTCCACATGTACTTGGTTAATGTGAGGAGACATTGAGCAAGGACATGGCCCTGGAAAGAGTGAGAGAACCAATATAGGAAAATAATGGGTTTGCCATGGGCTGCAGAGGAAGAGAAGTGTCTGGGCAGGATATGCCCAGCCCTGGGTGCTCAAGGAGGGTGGACAGAGGCATAGCAAACCCTCTCCCCTAAGCTCCCCTTACAGTCAGCAAAGTCAAATGAGCCTCCTCTGGAAAGCAATCTACAGCACACAAAGGAAGTTCCTGCTTTAAACCCCTCTGTGGCATCTCGAGTCCAGAAAGCTCCTGTCACTCCTCATGGTGCTTTTAGTCTGAGCTCCACGGTACACGAGGGTTGGCATTATAAATATCTGGGTTTCAGTTAACAGAGACAACATGGGCTGAAATTCATTTGATGTGCTCAGCTATATTTGAGATATTTGACTAAATATCCACATACTGTGTAACGACTTTTCTCACCATCTTCAGTCATCATTTATGCTAAAAGCCTCAGCCTCTGCATATTACTATTTTACTGGGCAAGTGAAAGCACACAGGAAATGGCTGCCACATCTAAAAATATTCTTGTCAATGTAATTAAAAGAAAATGACGTGCTTTTAAAATTTGGAAATTATAAGGACATACGCTAGCACTAAGAAATTAAAAAAAACCAACCAAACAAACAACCACCATTTGCTCATACCAGAGAAGCAGTGTCACAAGTAAAACCATTTAAGAAACACTGTCCAAGAGCCTGACTTCTGATAGAGCTGGACAACTGCACGGGATCTAAAAATATTCTTCAAACACAAGTGTAATCTGCAAACACCAGCGAGCCTTCTCTGGGAGGCAGCTCAGGCATTCAGCTGGCATCTGCACGCTTGGCCTGGCCTCTCATCATGTGAGGGGCTGGAGCAATCCCTTACAACTCCTGCGTCTCTCTCATTCATTCCTCTCTTCTGGTGGAAGAGGTGGCAGGGTACTAGCGTTATACTTTCCAACATGATTCCCAAGGTGCCTGTAACCTTGGCATTAGCTAATGAACTCTGCGTTTACTTCAGTTGCAAAATCCGAGGCTTTCCAACTCCCTTCTTTGTTCCATACCTCCTGACAGAGGAATTTCTTAGCTGGATTCTCTCACTCCATCCTTCTATGAAATGTGGTATTTGTAACCAATGCCAAAGAAAAGCTTTTTCTAGCATCTCAGTTGGCTGGAGGCATAAAGACTCATTTTGTCTAAGTACTATGAACCACTTCCTGATCTCATTTACACCAGCACGTATCCAAGTCAGTTACAGAAATTACACTACGTAAAACCAGTCTCAGAGAGGTCACATTCTGGCTTTGGGTATTCTATTGACTTGTTTGGAGGAACTGCCTTATTAAAATCGGGAATGGCTGTCTCCTGCTTCAGAACCAAACCCAAATCTTGGCTAGGAGGCAGTGAATGAGAATTTTAAATAGCAATCTACATAGACAACACCTGGATTCCCAGGAACCTTCTTATTCACAAATCCAGTTGCCTTGTAATGAAGAGATCTACCTTTAAAAATAAACAGTCAACACTGAGGCTCAAGTCCGTTGGTGGCTTTACAGCCTCTCTGGGGAAGCTGCAGTTACAGAATTTCCAAATATACTCTGGTTTTTGGAGAGACTTATTAGCAGTAGTTTTATTTTTATGGCTAAAAAATATCTGAATTTCATGCTCACGAAAGGTGCCAACTCAAGGGGGTTTTTCGTTGTCCTGGGGTTCAGGGTGGGTTTTTTTAAAACAGAAAAAGTATCTGTAGAGCATGTAGAACAACGGCATGAGCATCCACATGTTGTTGTTCTTCCAGTGTGATCTGAAGTTAACTTTGTACGACAACACCCAGAGAGAGAGAGAGCATGTATCACTGCCAGGCTCCAGTTCTGGACTGGGGTGTAGGTGTGGGAACAAATAGAAGGCAACATTATGAGAGAGGCAGATAGCAGAACAAATGTAATGAAAATTATTTGTATTTGCACCAGGTAATTCCAGCCTATGGAATTCCCGGAACCCACTGTGAGACAAAGACTAGATTTTAATCTCTATATGCTTGGGATAGATGTGTCTATATTTCAAATATCCCTTTCAGTATTTCTATTGATATAGGCTAGTACGACACGGAATTCTTCTACCAACCTGCAGATGTCTGCTCCTCGGCCATGCCAATCCTATCTTTACCCGAGCTTTAGAAGTGAAAAGTATGAGCCTTATCTGAAATCTTTACCCAGGAACAGGGTCAAAGGAAATAACTGACACTGAAAGATGAACTAGGATATCTTACGCCATCCTATCTCACAACTGTTCAAGCCAGAAGGTTAGCATCAGGCAAGAATCATTATCTGTGTGCAGTGAAAATCTTTCAGATACTGGAACTGGCTAGTTGAGCTCAGTGTTGGGCCACGGCTGACTCCCACCTCCGTGTTTCTCAGTTCTGCAGGCAGGGAGTGTAGCTCTGGATCTGCACTAGTGCTACCTCCTTCAACAAAGGTGCGTGCCCTGGCTCCAGAAACGGGTCCTTTGCACCCGCTTATACAAGGATCACTAATGTGCTGAAAGAGGAGGAACAATTCAAACTTTACCCAGAGATGACCTAAACCGACATTCACTAGGTCACAGCAAGCAGCTTGCAGTTACTTTACAACAACATACCATAAAGCACAGTGTAAGAACATCCCAGTTAACACTGGACTGCTGCAAACAGTCGGCGGAAAGCACAGGGGTCCTCAGCACTTTTTTGTTTCAGTCCTACCAGGTAAGCCCCATCGCTCAAGAAGCAGATAGCAAACGAAACTGTAGGTGAACTCTGACCACCTCCCACTCTTTATAGGTGTACCTGAGCTTCTTCCCTGATTCCTTCATATTCCACCCTCATTTTCTTCTGAACATCCTCATCAACGCTGGGGTCACCTATCCTGCTGAACAAGGAAGCAGCTTCCTCTAGCAGCCTTTCCAGCAGGACTGACTGATTTAAGACATCATTCAGCAGAACCTGAGCATGGCTCAGCTGCCACTGCTTCTCCTTTAAGCCAAGCTGCAACTCAATGTCAGGCTCCAAGGTCACCCTCATGTTGTGAATCCATGCGTAAAACTCATCTTGGGCTTTCAGGTACTCACTCCAGTGCAGCCAGACCCACTCAATACGGCTGTTGGGGAGAGCAAGAGAGATGAGTTAGATGAAATTATGATGGGAGCAGAGGAGACTGGCAAGCTCAAAAGGCCTTCAAAGCAAAGGACAAGGTTCTCAGCAGTTTTAAGCTGCTCTGACTTCAGAGGGTCTGGATACGCGTCCCAGGTCCTCCCTGCTCTGGGGAGGAAATATTCTGTACAAGGTCCCTGTGCCTGGCCAGACTCATCATTCCAGACCATGAGGTGGGCTGGGCTGTGAAGGCAGAGAGCACTGTGGTCCCACCGACCCTCTCTCCCCGCACAGTCCCTGACGTGCTGATGGGGCTGGGATTGGCAGCGATTGCTATATACAATCCAGGCAGCAGAGAGAGGCAGCAAGCGCTTTATGGAAACGCTGAACGGGACAACTGCCTCAACACACCAAATAACAGCAGTCCTGTGCAAAGAGGATGTTGGTCTTACCTGTGGCAGTGAGTGATGTATATGGCTGTCTCTTCCCACAAGGCTTTAATGTCTTTCAGTTTAGCCAGTACCTCATGCTTCTTATCTTCACCGATGCTGCGAAGAGCAGCATCTGCCTTCACCAGAATCAAGTCCATTTTCAAGCTGCCTTCTGGTTCCAGTGCACGTATTTTCTGTGAGAAAAACAAGTGATACTGAAAGCATGACAAGGAAGCAAGTATAATTGATAAAACTTAAACTTTGTTTTTACCCAGGAATCATGAAAACCCTGCTGCACAGCTTCTCCTGAAAGGAAAATATGAACTTCAGACTTGTTTATTCTTAAACATCCAAAAGGACTGAATTTAATTGAAAACCACGTAGCAGCTGAAAAACATTTAATTTAGCTACAAAACCCAGGTCATCTTCTATCAAATATCTGTGGCTCTGTTTCCTTTGCTGTTATAAAGTTATAGCACTAGGTTGCCACATGCCAGTTTTTCTCCCCCCTTTGCCAAAGATCGTAGAGGCAATCTCCACAGGGTACACTGCAATGTCTCAATTTTATGTTCTAGTGTAAGAAATCATGAAGCATATTAAAAAGACTTCCTACTGCAAAAAAAAGTTGGCTCAGAAAACAAGCCAAGAGAAATTAACTAGTAGAATTTTCTGCCTGCTACCAAAGTTTGCTAAGACCCTAAATTGCTGTTATGAATTAGTGAAAAAATGTACCACACTGTCATGGTTTAAACACAGATTGGAATGACAGGAAGAGAAAGTTAAGCCATCTAACTTTAAGTAGACTCTCCTCTTTTACCCAGAGGTGAAAATCATCACAAGTTCTGTACAGTGTAACAGATTAATTATGTCCCAGTTTGGGTGCTTTCAGCATCGCTTTATCCAAATTTTTGATACCATTAGATTAGCTTTTCTTGCTGTTCTTAAACAAACTCCTGGCAAACTGCAGGCTTTTAGAAGGAAAAGGCTTCTATAATGAAAACAGTGAGAGGTTCAAAATCAAAGCAACTACTTTTGGAATGGTTAGGCCTATGGAATTTGTTCCAAAAAAAATCACATCAGTTATTGCAAAGGTGAGACCAAATCACAGGCCTTTGGATTTCTAGTTGTACATTCTGGGAAAAGACTGTTCTTTTGGCACGTACACGGCACATCTGCATGTGACGTACAAACAAGTGTTTGTACAAATTGTCAACTATGAAAAGTATGATTGAAAGAATTCAGGAAAGCAGGGCAACGGGTAGGGCAGAGAAAGAGAATAAAAGCCATAGCTAACATCCAGCAGGAAAAATTTAAGAGTAAAGCTGTATTCTCAGCCTGACATTTTTCCAGCAAGTGAAAGCAAACAGAGAAAAAGCAGTAGCTGTAGAGGCATTTTTCTTTTTCAAATCTGTTTTTTAAATGATTGCAATCTTTGGCTGGTATTTTCATTAATAAATTAACAAAAAATAAAGCACAGGAAGGAAGCATGAAAAAAATGCAATCCAGATGCAAAAAAGGAACTGAGAAATTATTTGAAAACAGCCAATAAGTGAAGCAGCAAGTGCATTATGAGGACATGTGAGCTGGACATGGAAGCCAGGCCCAGAAAGGATGCAGGATGAGGGAGCAGGAGGTGGATAAGGTACACGCAGGAAGAGAGGACAGGCACCTGTTATTCTTTAGAATGATGAATTTCCAAAGTCTGAATTGAAAAAATCTTCTAACATGATTTTTTGCATGTTATAGACCTCCGCCAAAGCCCACAGAAGTCAACAGGCTTCAGTTCAGGCCATATTAAATCACCACAAACCTCTAAATCTTACAGCTTGCTATCTCTGCCATGAATGAACCCCCCTTTGCCTACCTACCACTCCCCCTACTCAAGTTCCTGTGTTTCTTGCATGGTTTTGGGGACTGTACTTATCATAGCTTCCCAGACAAAAGGAAATGGTGAAAATAATTAAAGGGCAGAATTAAATCTATAGATCAAGAGGAAATACTTCAGATTATCATGGCTGACATGTGAGTCTAGCCATCACCCATAACTCCATCAACAGTCTCTGCATTATGCCAGAGGCAAGATCCAGCCTCCAATCAGCCACAGTTAAGTTAAGAAGTTTGAAGACACTGCTGTACCGTCATGTAAACTACCTCATCCTCCCTGCAAGCCTGCACTGTTTGGGTTTTTTTGAGTTGTTAAACTGCATAAGAGGCAGTCCAAACATGAGTAGACATACAAAAAGAAAGACTTTGGGGTAAATAATGATGGGAAAGATTTGGCCATTTAATTTAAAGAACGGACTAGTTGGAATTAAAGGTAATACAAGTATAAAAATAGTTTCACTGTTAATCATAGAAATACCACCACTCCCTCTAATCATGAATGGTAGAGATGGGACAAACAGGAGTGTTTCATTCTCTGAGATTACAAGTGCAAGATAACATCTAATGAAACTGAAGTTAATGAATGTGAAATCACAGTAAGAGAGTAGGCACAATCTGCAGCGGGATCTCTGTGAGAAGACTTATACAAGAGATTAAGTGAAATCTGAAAATAATTAAAACACTTAACTTTTCATTAGACAGATCATAAAGTGGAGCTGTAAACCCTTTTATCATCCGGGTTTATGAAAAAGGACAAGGGGATTACTCTAGAACACCCCATTACTAGAACACTGCAATCTTTCTCTATCAGTGTCAGAGTCCTGGAGGAGATGGAACACTAATGTGACCTGATTCTCTCGTACTATATATTGCTGGACTTCTGCAAATCACTATCTGGTAATTAAAAGCAGCAACTCAATTGTTTCAGGTTTGAGCATGCTCATAGGAAAGTGCAAATATTTTAACCTGCCAAACCTGCTGCTTGTCTTTCGAATCAATCTGAAAAGCTTGGAAGCCTGTGATATCAAACTGCCATCCTCTTTTTCTATGTCTGTAGACATTCTGCAGACGGAAGAATTAAAAAGAACGCTGATGTAAACCCATCCACGCAGGACCAATCTTCCAGCAAGCAGGGGTTGCTGAGAGCTTCCTAATGGAAAGCTCCAGAGCTCACAGCAATAACTGGTGTAGCAATGGCTGCAGTGACAGCCACCTCTGAACCGCTACATCACTCTGCCCTTACCTCAGTCTCTCTCAGTCTGGCTTCTAGGGCAGATCGAGGTCCCTTGGTGTTGTCATTGATCCTCAGTCTCTCTTGGATGGCCTTCATCCAAGCTTCCGCATTCTCCACGCTACTGTCAAATTCATCCTGTAGCTGCTGAGTCATTGCATTCGAAGAAGCTGAAAGGATAAGGAACAGGGAACTAAGACAGGAGTACATTCAAGACAATCTAAAGGAGCAAGAGAAAAAAAGCTAACGATGCCGTGGCTTTACTTTTTAATGATAATACCAAAAAATGCAGCAGTCATGATTCAGTTGAGCACAGAGAACATATTCACACTGCAGCTTTCCCAAATGAAAATATACGAGGAAACAAAAAGAAGGTGGGGAACTGTGGGAGGCTCCATTACAGTAAACAGATTTAATTCAAAGCTTTCAAATTAGATTAATCTGGTGTTTGTGGTCTATTCCAGATTGGATACACCAATCACAAACACCTTCTGTTTATTCCCAGCCCATAGTCAGTACAAAACTCTCCCCATGCCCTTCCAGGCTCATGTGCTGAGCACCTGACACCAGACTAGCAGAGCACTTCAGCACATCCTTAACTTAGAGGTATATAAACCCTTTAAAGCTGGTGAGATCAGGATCAGATGCTTAGGTCCTCGGTTAATTTGTTCTGTTGAGACCATGGAGAGGTTATCTGAACGCCCGTGCAGAGTCTGATGTACACAGAGCGTGGGAATTGGCCAGCAACTGCCAAAACAGGCTACTCAGAAGCCATCACGTGGGAATGCCAACACTGATGGGTTTCATCTTTTGCCACCTCTTTTATCCCACACAAGGCTCCAAGCTTTTAGTTTTCCCTTCCCCCTTTCTTGTTGCCCCTTCCCAATCAGCAGCAGGGTATGATGGTTGGTTGCTCTATTGATGTGCTCCTGTGTCTTCTCTGTTTAGAGCATAAGCCTTCTGCTGCCCAGAGGCCTTCTTTGTGCCTGTACAATAGAGGAGAGCCAGCCTACGCTCGCTCTTAGGCCCTGCCGTACTAAACTTGGCTAATAAGGATGAATCATAACAAAGCCCCCCTAGGTCAGCTCTGCTGAAGTGCACAGAAAGACAGTAATTGACATTAAATGGTTTTGGATCACATCCTACAACCACTGCCAGCCAAGCAGTCAGTCTCTCTTGTACATTAAAATATCCTTCCTCCTTGTTATTCGTCACTGAAATGTTTTTACAGGACAAAGTCTGAGGCTTAATTACGGAACTCAAGTTTGTTGTGCAGAATTCGGGTTCGCAGCAGCCCCCTCGGTTGCCATGAAACGATTCACGTGGCAGAAAGTCCTCGGTGCGAGAGGCAGAGCACAGCTCTTGGCAAAGCTGGACCAGTGATGTTTTGTAACCCCTTTAACTCTTTAACATCTTTACAAGGGAGAGCCATCCATCTTCTGCCCGCTGGCAGAAGGCTTCCCACCGTCCCGCTAATGTTCCTGTTCATGAGGTAAAAGGATTCATGCAATATTAGATGTCCTCCCCTGTAGCTCCCAGTGCATTTTCTTCCACATTAGACCAGAGGAAGCAAGACATGAGGATTCACAACACTGATGTCCGGCAACAAAACCAGTCCAAACCGTTGGTTCCCAGCCTTCAGCAGCCTTTATGCTCAACAGATCCCAGAACAGAGCGGGAGAACTGCCCCTACAGAGCAGCTACCGCACCACCCACAGGGATTACTGGAGCAGAGGATGGGTCAGACCGCCACGCACAGACAGGCAGAGCTGCGTTTGCATGGAAGAGGGAATTGCTCTCTAAGTGAGAGATGTCGAACGGGGCGGAATCCAAAGCCCAGAGCTAGAGGGCAGCTTTACATAGCGTGAACTCACCTTGAAAAGATTAAAGATTAGAAGAGGATGTACTGGGTTTAGTAAGGGTGGTGTGGCATGGGGCAGCTACTCCCTCTCTCAAATATTAAAAATACGACAGCTGAAATCATTGGCTTATATCACAAGAGTCCTAAGGACGAAGCCAGCTAAAGCACTCATGTTATTCTCAGTGGATTGCTAGATAGTTGGAGAAGGACACAGCTATGACTGGTCCAGAACTGACGTTTCTGAACTCTGATAATCCAGAGCACACATCTCTTTGTAGCTGACTAATCAACTCATTTTCACATTAACATTTCTCACTGTATCTGGCAGCTGCAGACAGACTGTCCCCTAAAGCCTTCCTTGTTACTTACGTACATTTCTAGGCAAATAGTTTCTGAATGCGCAAGTGGCGATTCCAGTTACGCTACTGTGAAACAAAAACTCACGGTACATTTGCTGGATAGACTCTGATGAGGAGTGGCATTCGTTTCCTAGGAAAGGTTTCTATTCCTGGCAACATCCCTATCGTGTCTAAAATTGGCTTCAGAACTCCAGTCATGGAGTAGCCAATACAGACCACTACGTTATACTAGTCCTAATTCTTACAAAAAGTAGAGGGCAATCAAACAGGCTTAAGAAGCAGTGGAAAACCTACTGTCATCTAACAGGGAGAAAATCCCACTCGCACTCAGCCCTCATGCTGCTCTCCCCTGAGCATAAGGATTTTCTGTCCAAAAAACAAATATACACAGACCCTCATGCCACACACAGACACTCCACGTAAACAGCCAACGCAGGAAGCCCTGAAAAATGTTCATTCAATATTAAGATCACCAGTTTGCAAATGAAGAGAAACACTTTGCTAGTCCAACTGCCCGCATAATGTCATTGACTGATTTTGACCCAGAAATTCCTACGCCTAGCACCATAAAGATGATTAAGTTTAGCATAGACCCTGTCCCAGTGCCCAGGCAGATTTCATGGTAGTTACGACTTGCAATACCTGGATGGATTTAGGCTGCCTCTTGAGACTGACTGTGTCCTGTCCTCCCTCCTTCTTCCATGCCAGGCAGCCAAACCATGGCTGAAGCAATCAGCTACAGTGTACCTTTTGTTCCGGAACCCACTCACCGTTTCCAGGCACAGAACCATAGAATCACAGAATGGTTTGGGTTGGAAGGGACCTTAAAGACCACCTAGTTCCACCCCCCCTGCCCCGGGCAGGGCCCCCTTCCCCCAGCCCAGGGGGCTCCCAGCCCCGTCCAACCTGGCCTTGACCCCTTCCAGGGAGGGGGCACCCACAGCTGCTCTGGGCACCCTGGGCCAGCGCCTCACCCCCCGCACAGGGAACAATTTGTTCCTTACATCTAATCTAAATCTACACTTTTTTGGTTTAAATCCGTTACTCCTGATCCTATCACTACACTCCCTGAGAAGGAGTCCTTGCCATCTTTCCTGTACTGGAAGTACTTTAAATACTGGAAGGCCACTATAAGGTCTCCCCGGAGCCTTCTCTTCTCTAGGCTGAAAACCCCAACTCTCCCAGCCTGTCCTCACAGAGGAGCTGCTCCAGCCCCCTGATCATCTTCATGGCCTCCTCTGGACCCGCTCCAACAGCTCCGTGTCCTTCTTATGTTGGGGGTCCCAGAGCTGGACCCAGCACTGCAGGTGGGGTCTCATGAGAGTGGAGTAGAGAGGGAGAACCAACTCCCTTGACCTGCTGGTCACATTTCTCTTGAAGCAGCCCAGAATACAGTTGACTTTCTTGGCTGCAAGAATACATTGCCAGGTCATGTTGAGCTTGTCATCAGCCAACACCTCCAAGTCCTTCTCTGTAGGGCTGCTCTCAGTACATTCTCCACACATCCCAATTGCTGTGACCCATGTGCAGAACCTTGCACTTGGCCTTGTTGAACGTCACGAGGCTTGCACAGACCCACCTCTCCAGCCTGTCAGGTCCCTCGGGATGACATCCCTTCCCTCCAGCGTGTCAACCACACCACACAGCTCGGGGTTGTCAGCAGATTTGCTGAGGGTGCCCTCCATCCCACTGTCCATGTCACCGACAGACACGTTAAACAGCTCCGGTCCCAGTGCTGACCCCTGAGGAGCACCACTCGTCATTGCTCTCTACTTGCACATCGAGTCATCGACCACAACTCTTTGAGTGGGACCATCCATCCAGTTCCTTATCCACTGAGCGGCCCATCTGTCAAATTCACGTCTCTCCAATTTGGAGACAAGGACGTCATGCGGGACAGTGTCAGAAGCTTTGCACGAATCCAGGTAGGTGACATCAGTTGCTCTTCCCTTATCCACCAGTGCTTTAAACCCGTTGTAGAAGGCCACCAAATTTGTCAGGCACGATTTGCCCTTACTGAAGCCGTGTTGGCTGTCATCAGTCACCTCCCTATTTTCCATGTGCCTTAGCATGGTTCCCATGAGGATCCTCTCCATGATCTTGCTGGGCACAGAGGTGACTGACTGACCTGCAGTTTCCCAGGTCTTACTGTTTTCCCTTTTTAAATACAGGAGTTATGTTTCCCCTTTTCCAGCCAGTGGGAACTTCACTGCACTACCACAGCTTCTCAAATATGATGCGTAGTGGCCTGGCCACTTCATCTGCCAAGTTCCCTCAGGAGCATCCGATGCATCTCATCAGGTCCCAGGGACTTGTGCACCTTTGGGTTCCTCAGATGGTCTTGAACCTGATCTTCTCCTACAGTGGGTGGTTCTTCCTTCTCCCAATCCTTGCCTTTGCCTTCTGTGCCTTGGGCAGTGTGGCTGGAGCACTGGCTGGTGAAGACCGAGGCAAAATATTCATTGAGTACCTCAGCCTTCTCCATATCCCAGGTAACCAAGTCTCCCGTTTCCTTCCGGAGAGGGCCCACATTTTCCCTAGTCTTCCTTTTATCACTGATGTACCTATAGAAGCTCTTCTCGTTGCCTTTGATGTCCTTGCCCAGATGTAATTCAGTCAGGGCTTTGGCCTTCCTAACCTGATCCCTGGCTACTTGGACAATTTCTCTGTATTTCTCCCAGGCTATCTGTACTTGCTTTAACCCTCTTCAGGCATCCTTTTTGTGCTTGAACTTGTCCAGTAGCTCCTTGTTCATCCACACAGGCCTCCTGGCATTTTTGCCTGAGTTCCTCTTTGTCAGGGTGCATCGCTCCTGAGCTGGGAGGAGGTGATCCTTGAACAGCGACCAGCTTTCTGGGGCCCCTCTTCCCTCCAGGGCTTTATCCCATGCTATTCTACCAAGTAGATCCCCAAAGAGGCCAAAGTCTGTTCTCCTGATGACCAGGGTAGT